GCGCAAGAACCTCGAATTGACGGATCGCGTTGCCCCTGTCGCCCCGGCCATGGGGCCGAGTGAGAAGGCCTTTCTCTCGCAAGACTTCTTCGACGCCCTGGGCCCCGGCGCCCAGAACCTGTACATGCGGTACCTGTACGTCAACACCAAGTACGGTGCGAGTCTGCACGCCAAATGCACCAATCTGCTGGCCAAGGCGACACAGGCATACGACGCCGTCCTGGCCTCGGTCGACGTGTTGGTCATGCCCACGATCCCGATGCCGGCATTGCCTTTCCCGGGGGGAGCTAGTAACCCCTCTGGACGCTTCCCCGGCGGACCTCTCGAGGCCCTCTCGTACCCACTAGGTGTGCTCAGCAACACGGCACAGTTCAATTCCACCGGTCACCCGGCCATTTCAGTGCCTGTAGGGTTTGTGCCCGCACCAGATAACCCAGACGTGAAGCTGCCGGCTGGGCTCCAGATTGTCGGGAAGCGCTTCGAGGATTTGACCTGCCTCAAAGTGGCAGCGGTGTGGGAGGAGAACAAGGACTGGAAGTCGCTGCTGTTTGCGTAGGAGGGCACAAGGACATGGACAAAACTTGTCACAGAATAGGAAACAATGGATATTGTATGTCACAAATAGTTCGAAACGTTTCATGGTACAATGCCATCTATCTCGGACATGTTCTCCATCCAATCATGGTGATGACTTTTGTTTGCCCGGACATGCTGTGGGTTTCGGAGGAGGAAGAATTCTCTCCAGTCACCTGGTCGCCCTAACAAGGCTGAGCCAGCCGCCCCTAGGGAAGGGGATCAACGCGTCAAAAATACACGGCCCACACTGGGGACTCTACCCAGGCTTCTGACCAATGGTTGTATAATAAGTGGTATAGTAAACCCTGCCCTCTTTGATGTCTTGGAGGGTCTCGCCCACAGCTCTTCCAAACAGGTCCGACACTTCCTTTGGTGCTCTGACCCTCAAGCCCTCGTGGATATCTGTCAAGGCCCAAATCGCATTGTCGGTGTCCTGCCTCGAGAGCCACGGTACGGGAGGCACGTCGACGTGGCGGAGGTTGACGAGCCCGTGGCGCTGGAGCTCCGTTACGAGATGCCGTAGCCATTCTGTGTGGGAGAACAGACTGGTCAAAGGCGCCGTGATGGCTGGCGGGTCTCGAAACGCGCTGGGATATCTCAGCGGGTCGCTCATGGCTCGGAGGACCGGCACGGTGGCGTCGATCCACTGAATGAACCCGCCTGGTTTCAAGAGTCTGACGATGTTATGCATGACCCAGTCCTTGTCCTGGAAGTAGACCGCCGCCATGATCAGCCGGACATGGACAACGTCGAACCGGCCCACATATCTGTCGGGCATGGGCTGGAATATGTCGTGGATCTCCAGCACCACGTTCTGCGGGAGCGTAAACTGCGGCGGAAACTGTTGCGGGGATATATCGATGCCAGTTATTCGCGCATGTGGATAATTCACGGCCATCTCGAGAGACCAGATGGCATTGCCACAGGCAACATCCGCTATCTCGAGCCCTCGCAGGCCCCTAATCCGTGTTGCAATGTCCGGGTGAAGCAGCCATCCTAGCCTCCTCAGTATCAGATAGTGTTGTGCGGTCAGTCTGCCAGACGCCACTGTGTCGCGGGACATGATGTATGGGTCTCGGTGCGCTGCTGTGTCTGCCGCCATATTTTCCCCTCGAGTCGTGCGCTCCGATTCGCGACCGGCTCCGACGAGAGGGTTGGAAGTTCAAGTAGCGAATTATGTAAAAAACCAGTCGCAAACCGCGTATTTCATGCTTGAATTGTTAGATAGGAGGACCAAGAGCATGGGTCAAGCTCAATAGGCCAGTCGCAATACTGCAGGAATGAAAAGTTGTATCATGCTTGACCTACTTCTTGAGCACGGTTCTTCGACTTGAGTCCCCTGAGTCTTTCTGGAGAATTCAAATCTTGAGCTAAACTGGCCCCGCGACCTAGAGAAAAATCCATGCGAGGAGGCGACGTAACTTGAGGGCATCGAGGATTACAATGCTATGCCCTGAAAGGCAATGAGAAGCGATGATTGGCAGAGGAAGCGGTCTCTGTAGTAGACGGCCTCAATCAGGAGGATACCCTTCTATCGTGTGAGACCATTAGGTCGATGTTTGATCGAATCACATTCTCGAGGGCTCGCAACACAGCGTGACGGATGTCGTTTGTCTTCGGGGAGCGGGAAGTTTGATTTGTGGGTGTATCTCATCGTCCTATCACGAAGCATGTTGAAGCGATGCCCTGGATGGCCTGAAAGGCAGCCAACGCAAAGCAGGGAGGAGGGCTTTGAGAGTTTCTGTAATCAAACTTGGGGGTGGCTCGCCAAGCTGGTCCTTCCGAAGGATCTTTGGACCCGGCCAGGAAAATTTGATGTAAGGCCACCCGCTAACAGACCAGAAACCCCGTACTCCCTTCAAGCTGTGCTCAACGTCAATGGACATGGGTGCTGGGAAGGTAATACCGACGACTGTTAGTGTAGCAGATCAACTTGAAACGTTGCGTTGGCGACAATCATGGGCGTGATCTTGAGGGCAGGAGGACCCTAGCTGTTAGCGGTCCGATATCTCTCGGTTGGTGCCACGTCCTGTATCTCGGGCCTTCAGGCCACTTTGTGAACCAGAAACGAAGAGCTTTCGTAAGAAGCGAGGGTCCTGTACCAGGTTGTGGGGAAGTATGATCGGCGTCGACCCTCTTCTTTCTTTGCCATTCATGCCTCAAGCATATTCAGGGCTGGCCTTGTCAATCTTCAAACCACAGCCGCGTGGTCCGGTTCTTCGGTTCTGCTCTGGATTGGACTGTGAACTCCGGAATTTAATTTTGAATGGATGGATCCGTGTTCAGGATAGCATCGAACCACTTCTTGCTCGTTTTCTTCTGCAACGACTATTGGCACTCCGTGACAGAGAGAAATTCAAATACAAGGGTCCGCCGCGCACTGACAGCCGGCACAGTTTCTCGATCATATGAAAAGGAAAGAAAGGGATGCTTGGATGCTGAAGTTATGAAGGTTTTAATGCTCCGTTCAGGTATTTGGAAGTAAAGTATCGAGCCACTAGAGATTGTGTGAAGATCCTCCGCGAGATAGAAGAGCCTGCAGCGAGTCAGCGACAGAGATCAGCAATAGCACAATAGGAAGGGTAATCACCTTGTGGATCATGTACACTCAGCTACACCGATCACAGACGTAAATTTCGCGTTGTTCATCAATCTCCATAGGCAGTTCTAGATGTCGCCAGGAAGTTGATCTCAGAGCTCAATCTGTTCAAAGCTTTCCACAACCTCGAATTCCTCTCTCTCTGTATCAGACAGTGGCGCGTTTCCTGGTCTGTCCACCACAGCTGCTTTCATGCCCGCTTGGCCCGCAGCCCGCACCTCATTGACATTATCACTCAAGAACAGGATCTCGCTGGGATCTCTGCCAAGCTCCGCCGCAATCTTTACGTAGCTTCCGGCTTCTTGTTTGAGACCCGCATTCGTCGTATCGAACCACGCTTTGATAACGTCTCGCTTGTCCAGAACAGCCTTGGGGTCTTCGGGCGAAGAAGGGTCTTTGATGTGTTGGAACAGAAGCTTCTGTGCGAAGATTGACCCGCTACTGTAGATAGATATCTCTTTGCTGGTGATGTTGCTATCGCCAGAAGTGGTAGAGGATGACCAAGTCTCCAGAGAGCTTAGCACATCAGGGTAGACAGGCGTCGAGTATACATGTGTCTTGTATCCATTCTCCCACAGATAGCCTATTCCCACTCAGTATTGGCTACTTGTGAGCATGGAGAGGGACGAGCGTGTCGGGTCATGGAAAAGAATACCGTTTACCTTGCAGATTCTTCAAATAAGCAATCTTTACATCTCGCTCAGTGAGGTCTTTAACGTGAGCTTCGAATGCCTCGGGAGATGAAGTTGCTGATTCAGGAAACGCTTCACGGTAGGGGACGAATTCCGGGTCATCCCACTTCGAAGCGAGAACATCAGGAAGCGCTTTCAGGGCATATGGAAACTTTTTCAGCTCATGTAAGTGAGTGTATACATTGCTCGTTCATAGCCTCGAAAGTGAAAAAAGCAGCAGATGCATACGTGCTGGTGGCTCCTTACCAAAGTATCTTTCACAAACGTGATTGGGCAAATGGTGCCCTCTGATCGGGTTTTGCTGTTAGCCAATGTGCCGTGCCACACTGCTATGGCGCCATATTCGAGAATCTGCCTACCTATATCTAGTAGAACAGCCTCTACACCCTTGAAAGATTTGACTGGCTTTTTCACGGCCTGTTTCCTCTTTCGGGCAATTTTGGCTGGACGCCCTTCGACAGCTTTTGCGACGGGGCTGCGAGAGCGCCTTTTGGTGGAACGCGTGGAGACCATTGTGTCGGTCTATTTAAATATGGATTAAGAGGGTGATCTGCATTGACCAATGCAGAGCTCCATTTCCCATCAACAAAACGTCTGGAAATCGAGAGGAACTTGTGGTCCTGCTTTTTAAGCTCGGAGCTGATGTCTCTGTCGGCGACGGGGAAACTTTTCGCCACACCTTCCTTCAGCCGCCGTCTTAGTACTTTTGACAAGGTTAAATGCCAAGGCTTTAGCGGCTACATCCGACATCATGTGGGTCGCATGTGTTTGTTTGTCTCGGCGAGGGGATGCATGGCATTGCACTATGATACGACACAACATGTAAAAGTACCGACTATTCTGCTAGGCCCCGTGCTTCGACATGCTCACCGCCCCCTGCCGTAGGAACATGGGGATTTGGAACATGACCAACATGCTCGACGACTCGGGCGGATTCACCGTTAGAATGTGGACGACGGCCCTCGGAATGACACACGAGGAAATCCAAGCGCTCCTCGTCCAAGTGCGGAAGGACATCAGAGGCAGCAAAATCCATTCAAACTGGCCTACTTAGACGCGAGGTCTGCTAACCTCGCGTCTCCAGACACGTCATCTACGCCCAGAAGCCCAGGTAACGATTTCGAGTCACTAGCTCACACTTCAAGCTCCTTGTGTTCCTCCAACTGCTGTTCGGTGGGAGCTTCCTTCGCATCACTGTCGATCGAAACCTGGATATCCCTCTCTTCCTTTGTGTATACCTGCTTGGGGATGTGGCCGGTCATGAAGCGGTCCAGGTCTGCCATACAGAGCGCCGCTATCAAGCTCGCAAGGCCGACAGCGAGGGCAGCGTAGTATACCAAGGAGTACGAGTCTGCGTAGGCCCGAACAAGCGCCGACTGCACCGCCACGCCAACTTTGGTAGTTATGCCGGGCACATCAGCGAAGCTTGGAGCACCCTTCAGGATGTCGTTGAAAAGAATCGGGAGCGACGATGCTGGTAGACCTGCCTGCAAGGCTGCCTCCGTGACGTAGGTCTGGACTTTGCCGGGTGCTTTGCCATTCAATATTGCCAGGAAGACAGCGGTGAATATGGCGCCAGAGATTGATTGACCGGCACGTAGCATTGCTAACACCCAACGACGTGTCAGTGAGCTCGCTCTTGTCCATGGAAGATTGCGGGGGGCCTGGCATTTCTTTTCTGCCAGGAAAGAGCTTGACCGCGACAGCTGGCCAGGGATGGGAGATCATCACGTACCATAGGCGACGCCAACATCTTCGTCCTCACTAATGACCTGTACCAGGACGGTGCCTCCTGTCTCTAGCCAGCCCGCACCGAAGGTGCTGAGGAATGAAGCGGCGATTGCCATTGCCCTATCACCCTCTCTGACAGAGGCCATGGCTCCAAGGAACGCGGTCGAAAGCGCCAGCCAAAAGACGATTTGCCATTTGATGTAGCCGATGGCGTTGACAAACGGGAACAAGAGAATGATTCCGCCCCATATTCCGAAGCCAACAGTGGTCTAGGAATAATTGTATTAGTCTGAGGCCACGCGAGTAGTAGGTGCGGAAACTGACACTGGTCCATGCAATGGTTTGCCAGGAGGTGGTTGCATTTGAGAACAATCGTACAACCTCTGGTCAATTTGTCAGCCTGGGCCCCATGATTCCAATCAGTAACTTGACTCACGTTGTGGATACATGATGGTCATGGCGATGTAAAGCGTTCCTGCGCTCCAAGAGACGATGTTGATACATGTGAAGGTCCGGACCCTTTTGAACAGACTCAGATCCACGATTGGATTTGGGGTCTTCGAAAGAGCCTCCCATAAGATGAAGGCCACCAAGGTAACAGCTCCGCTAATAGTGAGACCTAAGATACGGGCAGAGTCCCACGGCAGCGGGTTTCCTCCCCATGAAATGCCGAGCAAGAAGAGAGTCAGGCCCGCCACCAAAAGGAATATGCCAGCATGGTCAACGCGTTTGAACTCCTGCCATTTGGATCTTTTGGTGCCGTGGAGTTGTGTAAAGGTGGCTGGGTGGTAATACAAAACTTGAAGAACCCAGCCCGCTCCTGCCGGTCAAATGGCGGTTAGTAAAGATGTTCAAACATCTCCAGGGAGGAGACGACATAACCGCCTACCGCATAGGATAATGTAGATATAGTAGATCCACCTCCAGCTCAGCGACTCCACCAGGGACCGTCCGATGATGGCGCCAAATCCAGTGGCCACGACCATGGGAACCAGGATGGTAGCCTGGACGTAGAATTTGTAGCGATGTGGAACGAGTTCTGCAGAGGCAATCAGATCTCCACAAGTTTCGCACTCTGGGGTCAGGAACCACTTACCTCCAACGAAGACACCAGAAGACGAATGGACGCCAGATCCGATTCCGATAATGACCTGCAAATCCGCCGAATGATCAGCTTTTCGGGGTTGCGTGTCAGCAGCATACAAGCATTTTACTCACGTTCGCACCGATCAGGGTATCCATGGACTTCGCCGTCCCGGCGACAGTTGCTCCCACGATGACCCACACACCAGCGACGATACTGACATATCTTTTCCCGAATTTGTCGGTGATTCGCCCCACAAGCAAGATGCTGATGGCGTTGCACATGGTCCAGATGATTGAGAACAGGCTGGCATTGGGACTGGGACCTATCCGAACCAAGTTTAGTGGAGGACCAAATTTACAACTGGTCCACTTACCGATGTCCTCGTTGATGAATGTGAGCACCGAGGCCGGGACCGCAAAGCCGAAATAGCAAGACATGGTCGTCAGTGATATACCGACTAGAGAGCCGATATAACGGGCACTTCTGAAGTATCGTGGGTCAACTTCGCTGACATCTTTGGCAAGCCGGCGAGAATACTCGACGTCTTCCTCGTGCTCATGATCATGGCGAGGACCTCCGTGGTGTTTGGCTTGAGTGTCGTCTGTGTTGCCCATACTGAATTCTCTCCTGCGGATAGAGTAATACTACTGATAGGTTAGACGAAGCAAGCCGACAATATTCATCCAACAAGAAAAGCAGGGGTACCTGGGGGCATAATATAGTCCTTGCTCCACAGAACGCTTACCTGGGGTGAAGGACCGGGGTTGGTGGGGTCAGACCATCCGAGACGCTCCCTCCCCGGCTCTCAAGAACCCCTATCCATCTATCTGAACTTGGTTCTCGAAATTGACCGCATCATTCAAGCTCTCGTCTCGCAGAATCTAGAGATCCCGAATATGGGCATTCACGGCGGATACCTTGTCGTTTTGGGCTAGCTTTACTCCCCGCACCGCACCATTAATAACCGTCTAATCACATAATTACTCACCAGGGTAAGTTAAGTTCAGGTCTCGAGCGAATCAGCCTCGTCCGTCTGCGGCAGCTCCGTAGGCCTTGTTCTGCATGTGTGGGGCTTCTGGCGACGTCCTGTTTCCCACGCGGCTAGATTCGTCTGGATGAATGGAGGACTATGCTTCACCAGGCCGATCGCGGCGACAGTTGGCCAAGCGAGACGATATCTTTTCCTTGTTGTTCCGAGACTTCTCTTCTCGGAGGCGCCAATCTCTGCACAAATGGATCCATTCTCAGCACTCGAGAATAGGCATTCGGACGGGCCATTTCTCTGAAGCAGCCACCACGCGTCATCCCATGGGTTTCCGAGACGCTCTGTCGTCCGGGGTTGCCGGTCGGTTCCTTCTGATATCGGGCGGGCTGACATGCCAGTCTTGAACATTACGGATCCGATGTTGGCTGACAGAGTTGGAGCTATCGCAGCGGTCTTGCTAGGTCAACTGCACGAGTCTCAGGGGATGCGATCTCTGACTTGTCCATCTACAATATTTTGCGTGACGAATTTCAATGAGATTAGTCGGGCTCCTCAGTGTAACCGTTAACAACCCTCTAAAATATCTATTGTCAACATAAGGTATTTTATGCTCGAGGTTGCTGTTCATATAGCTCTTCCTCCATCGACCTCTAGATTGACACCTGTTATGAATGCCGATTCGTCACTTGCAAGGAACAAGCATGCATTTGCAACATCGAGTGGCTCACAAAGCCGACCGAGGGGCACATTGCCAATGAACTTGGCTCTGTTTTCAGGCGTATCAGCCTGTCCGGAAAAAGACTGGAATCTATCGGCGTTGGTGAGTAATTGAGGTCACATGTACGGTCAATTACATACAGTCCTGTCCCTCCTAGCAATGGGCATACCGAATTGACTCGAATGCCATGGGGCCCGAATTCTGCCGCGAGGCCTTTGGTAGCCTGCAGTTCAGAGAGGTGAGTCTCCCACAATGACAAGCTTCAAATTCCTGACACCGGCATTAAGGAGTAAAGACTCACATTGCAGACTGCAGCCTTGGAGCTGTTGTACCATACTAGGCCTGGCCTGGGGCGTGTGGCACCAACGGAAGCAATGTTGATGATAGAGGTTCGCTGGTTCCGATTCAGCATGTGCGGGATCACCGTCCTTGTTCCATGAAAGATGCCCTTGACATTCACGTCGAAGCAACGGTCGAAATCATCTTCTGTCACTTCGAGGGTCGGCTGAAAGAAGTCAGAGCTACCGAAGAAGATGGCTGTCAAATGCACCGCTCAAGGCCGACCTTATTTGCGTAAGTGGTTCCTGCGTTGTTGATCAAATAATCGATCTCCCCGAGTTCGGTTTCCACCGCAGTGATCACTCTCTGCCAATCTTGGATATTGCCAACGTTTTGCTGATAGAAATGGATTTTACCCTCAGAGGAAGCAGCTAGTGCTTCACCACGAGCAACATCGATGTCGGTGATTGCTACCTTTGCGCCTTCATCAGCAAAGCGGACGGCAATACCTGCACCGTAGCCGGAGCCACCTCCTAATGTCCTTCCATTAGCATATAGCACGTGTACCAGGGGAACGAAGCATTAACCTGTGATTATCACCACTTTATCAGAAAGCCGCTGTCTCTGATGGAGCGTAGGGGAAGCCATGATCCGACTTTTGAAACTGTAACTATGCTGTATGTAGCTGTTATTGCCTCTTGCCTATGATGGGGTTGAGAAAGCTCGAGCACGTGATGACTAGTAGGCGTCTTACTTACGGTAGCTTTGTAACTTATATCCTACAAGAAAGACCGGATAGTTAACTTGTTTCAGACTTTGCTCGAGACGTAGCACGCAGGGGTAGCAGTAGCTTCCGAGCACGGTGGAATTAGCTGTCGTTGTGTGAGAGCCTTGGTGGGTCTGCCACTGGGGTCGTCGATTACTGTTCGAACGCTGACACATCGCGAGCCCTGTCACTATGGGAATTGTCGGACCTGCGTCTACTCAACCGTCAATAGATCTCATCGTGCGTGCGAGCCACGAGCACTCTCTGAGCTGAACAGCCCGGAACCCGAGCAACACGTGACAAACGGTGCAGTTGTTTCTGGGTCAACGCTCAGCATATAGATTTCTCAACTTGCGCGGCGCTGTCTCGGACAAAGGGTTACTATTTATCAAGCCTACAAGAATACAACCTAAGGAGGGAATACGCCAACCAATGAAGTCAAATACTGCTTCCCCCAAACCTGGCTCCAAAGACACCAGCATAGAGCCGGGGCGGGAGCGTAAGAGGAGGCAAGATCGCGAATCGCAGCGAATGAGTCGGAAAAGGACAAAGGAATACATCGAGCATCTCGAGGCGTTGGTTCACAGTCTGATTGGCGTCAATGTGGACGAGAAGATGGCCAGCATGCGTAAACAGCTCGACGAAACCTTTAGCGAAAACCAACGGCTCAGGGCACGGCTTGCCACAGTCCGCCGGATCGCCGGCGAGGACGAAGAACAGTTCACGAAGCCGGAAGACGTTTCGGAGAAGTCAGCTTTGACTCCACTCAGCAGCGCGGATAACACCAGTGGTGAGCATCACCATCAGAGCTCGAATCCTGAGGAACAGGCGGCCGTTGTGGGAGTTACACCCAGCGACAAGACGAGCCAAAACATCGACATATTAGCTCCAGACTCTACGATAGATGTGGATCGTATGTCAAACTACTCATCGTGCGCATTCAACAACAGCATATCAAATACAGCTTCAATTGCGAACAGCCTTCCTGAACTGGGTTTTCTGTCACAGGGAGAAATCGACAACCTCTTCAAGAGCTTTTTAGACTTGGAAGGTCAGCAAGTGTGAACAACGGATAGACAATCTCGAAGATGTATGAGAGGACAGAAGACAAACCTTCAATCACCACTGCGCCACGCATAGGGTTTTTCAGCAGCTCCTATGACTGCATTTCGCGGGATACAGAAGCCTGCTTACAACGATAATCACAACGGCAACAATTCGAGTGTCCTTTCGAGAAATAGAAGCCCCTATTGATCCTCCCCATGGAGGGAAAGAAGCGTGGCGACTCGGTAGAAGGTGAATATGAGGGGCGTTCCCTATTCCTGGGTCGAGCTTCCCAGCTCCTTGAAGCCCCAGCTTTCCTGCGAAGAGTTCGAGTTGACGGTGAGAGGACGTCTTCACTAGACCCTGAACTATGGTGCCGCTCCAGCCGTCTCTAATGTGTCAAACAATCTACACATTGGCATTGACATCATAAATGCAGCGTTTCATAAATGCAGCGTTTAAGGCGACGGTGAGGAGAACTTGGTCGCTTTGTTAAAGAGCGAATTCAAAGACTGCAACTCACAGATATGCCTGACGGGGGATACCAATTTATTTTTCAGGAGTGCTCACGGTTTTGCCATGGCTTGACGTAGTGTGTGTTCTATCTGACCATAGACACTATCCGGACGGGAAAGAAATATTATATGGGCATGAGCAGAATTTCTGATGGTGTTATTTCTGTCCCGCAGGGGTATTTGTGGCGCTTTCAAATCCAATCAAGCGTTTGGGTTTGATAGCAATCTATGTAGACTATGGACTCAAGCAGCAGACCATGCCTTGTCTACAGGAACCACCGCCCCGTTGATCGCGGAGCTGAGATCGGAAGCTAAGAAGACGAGAACGTTTGCGACTTCCTTAGGGTCGATAGGGCCAGTGGCAATGGGCCCATCCTGACCGTCGAGAGTGCCTGTGGACTGTGGGTTGAAATGGACATTCAGAACCGCTCTGTCATTCCACAAATAAGAATTAGCATCAAGACGCTTCTTAAGATTGGGTGAGAGGGAAAGGGAGATGGTGGAGAATGGACTCTTGCATCCATACGGACCTCGAATTCTGGAATGCATCGACGTCAATGCCCTCTGTTATGGCATTGGTGATGTTGGTCCGTACCCCTAAAAGCAATCATTCATGAGCTTCGGCCTTGCGAATTGCCGTCCTGAATATTCCAACATACCTCCAGGGCAAATTGCATTGCACCGGATTCCCTCTTGGTGGAAGCGCCAGGCCACATTCTTGGTGGCGCCGATCTGTTATCCCAGGATGATGTCCTTGTCAGCAAAATGCTCTTCAAGTCTTGCCTTTGGTATTTGGCATCTTGTGTCGTTCGTCGGAGAGGGGGGAAGAGGGGGGGGGGGGGGGGGGGCACTTGCTAGCCCGTGCTTGCTGGCGGTGTATGTCACACCGGCGACGCCGCCACCCAGACCAGCTCGACTCGAGATGTTGACTATGGAGCCACTCTGCTGTGCTCGCATGTAAGGGATCACGGCCCTCATGAGTTTGATCGGGCCTGTCAAGTCGACGGCGACCACCCGGTCATATTCTTCATCATCCAGACTATCGACCGAACCGAGGCGATCCGAGATACCGGCGACGTTCAAAAGGACATCGATGCGGCCATTGAATGCCTTGGCACACGCTTCCACCGTAGCGGAGATGTCTGCCTGCTTCGACACATCGCAAGTCTGGAATGAGAAGCCCAGGAGTCCTGATAGCTCGGCGGGCGGCTTTTGGACGTCGCACCCGAACACTTGGGCCTTTGCATCCAAACAGGCCTTTGTCGTAGCGAGGCCAATCCCACTAGAGCATCCAGTAATTAAAACGACCTTGACGTGAGTTAGAACAGCTGTCGTGGGATATCCGCAAGTGACGAGACCTGCTCGGGAGGAGTGACTAACCTTGCCGCTGAGCATCGCCATGAGAGCGTACTGTGTACTCTGTACAAAATTGTTATCTTCTGGAGGAAAGGAGTGTTACCAATTGGTGAGAAACCGCCTGACTCCGAACGATGTCAGGTTTGGCGCATCATGCTGGGTCGACAGGTTAAGTATCAGAGTCGTGAATGTGCTCTTCTGAGTGCCCGTCCTAGCCACGGTTATGCACAGTGCTTGCCTCACTAACTTGGGGTCGAGGTGCCTTCCCCAGATGATCTCCCCGCGATGACCTGCGCTTGACACAGGCGTGGAGGACCGAAGGCAAGACTTTTCCGGTTCTCGGGAACACTATATCCGGTCTTGGAGGATCCACATCGGAAACGGTTGTATCGTGCAACTAGTAACTAATTCAACGATTACGAAACTTTGCTGAAGATCTGGGCCAGGATGAGGGCCAAGAGTCTAACAAGGTGTTGGCGATTGCTTTGGGAGATGGTGGCATTCGGAAGGGAAAGATCTAATGGTCTCCCTCTGCTGTAGAAAACCCTCCTGCTTCTGTTCGCCATCACAAGTGACCGTTTCTCTTCACGCGAGTCCAGTGAGAAATCCCAGGAATACCTTTGACATCCAGCCCAGAAACAATTGTTTTGGTCAAGATGACAATGGAAGATTTTAACCAGCTCCTCGCCAACATTACCGACCCAAAACACTCCAGCTATGCGGTTCCCGCTGCCGTCTGCAGCGTGGTCAACAGAGATGGCAAGTCAATGAGTCTTTGTCGGTCCTTGAATCGTCAGAGTCTGTACTGACTGGCTGGACGCTGCAGGGAAAGTCGTCTATTCTAGATCGGCCGGTACATCAGGCACAGATGTTCCTTTAAGCGAGAACTCGGTGTTTTGGATGGCGTCGCAGACCAAAGTGATGACAACTATCGCCGCCATGCAGTGCGTCGAAAGAAACCTGATCGGGTTCGACGAAGATGTTGCTCGTGTTCTCCCGGACCTGTCTCTGCTCGAAATCCTGGATGGCCGAGATAGCTTTGGCCGGTGGAAAACTCGCAAGCGAACGAAGAAAATTACACTAAGGTATATAATAAATCAGAGAAGGGATTGATCAGACTCAACAGAACTTTGGCTGATCATCTTTTCCACCGACAGGCTACTGCTCTCTCATCAAAGTGGCGTCTCGGTCGAGGGTATGTCCACTTCTTTGGCGGAATGGGCCAAGCAGAACAACTTTTCCAACCACTCTCTCGATAACACCATGGTACATCGAACCCTCTTAGGACAGAAGTGCCTTAGACAGGCGTACTGATCTGAATCCAGATCAGCACCAGGGTGCTTCCACTGGTTGATGAGCCCGGTGCACAGCTTCTCTATGGTGCTGGCATAGACTGGGCAGGCATCCTGGTGAGTTCAAAGCGTTTGGCCGGGCTCACCGTAGCTGAGTCACTCAAGAGAAGACGCAAAGAGGAACTGAGCTGATCGTCTACTTTACCGGTTCCTAGGTCGAGCGCCTAAGCGGTCAAACCTTGGAGGACTACATGAGTCAAAACATCTGGAAGCCTTTGGGCATGACATCGACCACCTTCCACCCCGAACTGAACCCCGATATCCACGCAAGGCTCGTCAAACCTTACGAGCGAACTGCAGAGGGTACCTTGAAGCCGAGGGAGACACCGCTGGTCCCCATACCCAGTCCCACATCCGTTGGAGGCCATGGGGCGTACTCGTGTCCAAAAGATTACGTCAAGCTCTTCACGGCATTATTGCAGGGCGGGCAGCCAATCTTGAAGAAGCACACTTTGGACGAGATCTTCTCTCCCCAGCTCGTGCACAAAGAGTCCATCAAGACCTTCTTAGAGGGTCCTTTTGCCTTCATGCTGGGATATAGCATTCCCAAGGGTGTCCACACTGATCACGGACTGGCCGGACTGCTGGCAATGGAGGATCATCCCGGCGGCCGTCGAAAAGGGAGTCTGCAGTGGATTGGAATGCCAAATAATTTCTGGGTGAGTTTGCTTCACAGATTGTATCTAAATCATTTTTTTTTTTTTTTTTTTTTTTTTTGGCAGGTGCTAACTCTGGCTCTCAGTGGGTTGACCCTCAGACTGGTATCGCTGGCGTGGTATTTTGTCAGTATTTTCCGCCTGGAGACCCCGGAGCCGTGTCAATACATAAAGGACTTGAGAGTGCGGTCTACGGGACCTTTAAATAGGTTAAATGGCAACCACAGAACAGGACCTAGGTGATGCGACTAGTACTTCATAGATCAGTGAGGTGAAACGAGTCTTGAGGCCGACCGATGGAATAGATCACAGGGATAAAGTCCTCTATTGAGTGCATGATACGTCTACCAGTTGCAGAATTGCGTACTTGGTTCTTACATCTCGACAATGCGACGGAGTCTTAAGCAACCAGGCGTTGACATTTGTAGATACACCCTTGCACATTTAGATCTCTGGTCCGTCGCTCGCTTAGTGCCCACAGTCCATACACTTCCTTACGGTGTAAGCTCTACTGAGACACCAAAAATTCCTTCGGCATGGTAGTGTCTCCTGTCGGGAAAAGGAGACCGAAATCTCCCACCGGGGGAGCAGGGACGACGAATTTGCGAAACTTGATCCTCCAACACTCCTTGCCGTCAAAGACGTCTTTGACAAACTCGTCCGTAGCGATGGCCGTGGCGACACAGCACTGACCCTCCGTGTCACCGGTTCCCCAGTGGTAAGCGACTGTGTATGCCTCGGAGCGGGCGGTGGTGTCGCTGGTGAACTCGATATAATGGGAGGTGATGTTGTGCAGCGTTTTCAAATCCTTGAGCAAAGCCCCCATTTGTTCTCCCAGGTCTTTGAGATTCTCAAACCTCGCAAGGGGAGGGCTGGGATAGTCGCAGATTGCGTCTGGCGTAAAGACCTGACTCATGCGCGCCCAGTTTCTTGTATCCTGGCATCGACAGTAGAGAGAGACGACGTTCTGGATTTGTTCGTAGTCTGACATTACTGGTGCCATTGTGTCGATGTTTTGATCCGGGCACGGGCCGTTGTTGGAATTTCTGGAAATGCGGGTTGAGAAGAATTGGACATGGGATATACTTCTAGAAGCTCTCTTAACCCTTTGATCCCAAAGCACAAGAACGAGGGCAGCAAGAACTTGGTGATCTCTGCACAAGAGGAAGCATCACTAAGTTTGACTCGAAACTATAAGTTTGACTCGAAACCATTGGATCGTCGGCACCGAAAGGCCATCACCGGATTGGTGGGTGGATCGGTTTGGTCCACTGTACAGTAAGTGCTCGATTACTCGGTACAATGGTTGCTGCGCCGCTGTCTGGCGATCCCCACATAGTCGCCCGTGGAGAAAGGTAGGTCTAGCGTGGTCTCATCAACGCGGTATTATGGTTTCTTTGTGAGTCGATACTAGGGCCCTTAATCAGCCATGACTTACGTTGAGTGAGAATACCGTTGCCACCATGCTCGGTGGCCCTGTTTACGAGGGTTTGCCTGGGAAGTAGTACACCGGCAGACAGTATCGCCGTTGGCAAAGTCTAGTCTGCTTCAAGCCCGAGATTCATGCGGCGAACTGATAATGGACGCTCAAGGGGAATTTCCTCACTGAAGAATCCACCCAGAGTTGCACGCTGCCCATCTAGTTCCCATTTCATTCTAGCCAGAGCATCGCACCAGGTATTGTCCGCCTATGTTGATTTAAACGTCCAGCCGTACAAGCCTCTCCTCTGGTGATCGCTGGATACGGTGGTTCGCCTTCAGGGATTCACAGCAACATTGAGTCTCTACTCTGTCTGACCACAGAATTGAAGCATTTTTGCCGTGCCGAAGTTTCTCGTAAACATGGTGAGACCTGTACGGATCGCGGGTATGTACCGCCCATCTCTTCGACGGTGATATTGCTGACGGTTAAGGCGCTTCGGGCTCGGCGTCTGACCGGAGGCATGCGATGGCAGCGTTTGCGAAGAACCACCCGAATGACCCGATCGACATCATCATTGCAGACTACATGTCTGAGGGCAATATGGTGGTCGCGGCTGCCCGCAAAGCAGACCAGGCTGCTGTATCAGCCGGAGACGAAGGCAATCCCTTGACGTTGACGGGTCCTGCGTTCGAATCTAGCTTTCTCGAAGCCTTGGAGCCTGCATTGTCGGACCTGGCTCGGCACGGCATCAAAGTTGCAGTCAATGCAGGTGCCAGCGATACCAAGGGCTTGTACGATAAAGTGTGTGCCATGGTCGCAGGTCTCGGGATCCCCGTGGGTTGGGTCTCGGGAGACGAAGTATTTCCTACCATCCAAGAAGAGCTGCGAAACAACGGCGACTTCAAGAGCATCTACAACGGGGAAGCGCTGAGTAAGTGGGATTTCGAGCCCTTCTACGCTCAGGCTTATCTGGGCGGCATGGGGGTCGCAGAGGCTTTCCGGCAAGGAGCGCAGATTGTGTTGTGTGGAAGGGTCGCCGATGCGTCTCCCGTCATCGGGGCCGCTGTCTTCTACCACAACTGGAACCGGACTCAGTTTGATCAGCTCGCGAACGCGTTTCTTGCCGGACACCTGATCGAGTGTAGCAACTACGTTTGCGGAGGGAACTTTTCTGGGTTCCGTGAGCTGGGATTAGACCGGTTGGAGGATGTTGGTTTCCCAATTGCAGAGATCTCGAGCGACGGATCGGTGATATTGACCAAGCAAAAGCATTCTGGAGGTAATGTCTGACCCCTTTCTGCTGCTGGGATAAATCCTGGGTTCTCGTGCCGCCAGTGGCATGACTCAGAGCCCGATTCCTACTCCGTAACGTGCTGACCGCAGGCTGGCTACCTTAGGCGCGGTAACTGTCGACACGTGTTCTGCACAGGTCTTGTACGAAATTCAAGGCCCATGGTACTTTAACTCAGACGTCACTGCTGTGCTTGACGGGATTTGGTTCGAACAGGTCGGACAGGATCGTGTCGCCCTACGTGGTGTCCGCTCCTTGCCACCCCCACAGACCACGAAAGTTGGCATCACAGCACGTGGAGGATATCAGGCCGAGGGGTTTTACTTTGTTACCGGCCTACATGTCGACGACAAGGTGCGTCTGTTTGAAGCCCAGATCCGAAAGCTCGTCGCTGCTCATTCCTCAAAATGGACCCAATTCTCGTTCACAACGCTCGGTGCACCGGTCCCGAACGCAGACAGCCAGAGCGCGGCCACGGTCTTGGTGCGTGTGTTCGCACAGGCAAGGGCTAGCGAAGACCTCGAGCCAGCGAAATTTATCCGCCCCATCGTCGACAACGTTATGCAAGGCTACCCCGGCGCCACGTTCCACCTGGATCTTCGCATGGGCATGCCAAACCGTTCTACGAGTATTTTGTTACGCTGATGCCTCAGGCCGACATCCAACATGTGGTCCACTTCGATGGCCGCGAGACCACGATTCCTCCTCCGCCCGAGACGAAATCCTTCCCGGAGCGGCAGCCCAGTACTGCCGGATCAGAGGCTCAAGGTAGCACCCCAGTGAAGGATTTCGGACCCACCGAAACACGGCCTTTGGGATCCATTGTCCATGGGCGCTCGGGAGACAAGGCTTCCGACGCCAATTGTGGCTTCTGGGTACGGCACGACGATGAGTATGAGTGGCTACAGCAGACATTGACCATCTCGGTGATGAAGCAGTTGCTGGGAAAGGAGTATCGTGAAAACAGCAAGGGCTGGCCTGTGGAGATCGAGAGGTTCGACTTGCCGAAGCTGCGTGGAGTCCACTTCCTGTTTCGAAATCTTCAAGGAGGTGGAGTGATGAGTGCGACCACTGTCGACTTTTTAGGCAAGAACGTGGCAGAATACCTGCGAGCTCGATACGTACAGGTGCCGGTCAAGTTCCTAGAGCGTGGGACGTTGTAATTGGTGGTGATGGAGCGGAGGAGGAGGAACAGTAACTATAGAGATACGGATGGACTAAAAGGTTTACACAGGAAAACAAGGGTGACCCAACACAACACATCGCGTTACATAGGACTTTCAGCCCGAGTTGCTCTAGAAGGGAATGTATGATAGCGACGAGTTGGCTAAGGCATGTCAGATCCATAGAGCTTTATCCTACTCTCAGCTCAGAACTTCGATCAAAGCTACACCTAGCTTTGTAGCGTGCCCAGCACTTGCCGGTAGACACCAAGCATAGCGCCACAAGTCAAGTTGTCGACACAGGGCGAAGGCATGTAGCAATCCTGCCTGTAGCTTTTGCCGCGTGCCACCACTGCCTTATAGCCATCCCACGTGAGCTCCGGATACTTTTCAAAAAAGGCGGGGTCCCATTTCCACGCCCAGGGCGAGTCGTACATCTTGAGATGATAGTAAGCTTTGAGGGCCAGCTTGGGTGACTGTAGGAGAGCGCCTAACGGAACAGGTGTCCAGCCGTCACCGTCGGACACCAACCCGCTCAGACGGAAGACGTTGGCCGGGTTGGGTTTCTCTTGGAGGATGCTTCGTAGTGTCCGCGACATTTCCGTCATGCCGGAATTCTGCATGCCAAGGGCGTGTGCAACCAGCTCCGGTGCAGCCGAGATGGTGTCGAAGATCTTCCACACACCCAGGAACCCTGGGCCCGGCTCGGCGTCGGACAGGATCTGGGACATGTCCGGCACCTCCACTACTGTGTGGTACAGTGTGTCGACCCAGATTTGGTCGAGGTGCCTCGAGTTGTCGTAAAGGCGGATCAGTTTCTCTCGCAGCGGAGCATGGGGAAACCAGCCGATCACGGCACAGTGAGGAGTCTCCATCTCGTAGGCAGAGGGCATATACTCGGGCAGCAGTCGGTTATAGGTGACGAGGTTGGGGGACATCCTCCACGCCAAAATCCGGTCCGCCGTCTGAGCCAGGTACGAGTTGAGCCACATAATCGACGTTCCGGGCCAGAGGTAGTTGACGAAGACGGAGAGGAACGCTATGGAAGCTTCGGAAACCCTGGAAGTGTTTTGCCAGTCAGAAAGATGATATCCAAGGCAATCGTGAGCGCAGTGCGAGTTCTTACTTGCTGAATGTCAATGCCTTTCCCTTGCTCACGTCCAATTGTTGCCGCAAGACACATTCCATTGATTCCATATGCTCTGCAAACCGTGAGGCACACGGCAGATTAGCAGACGCGAGGCCGGCATTCAGGGAGTTTGTACGCGAGGGACGAAGACCCTCAGACAGGAGTTTGGGGAGCATAGGTGAAAGGCTGAAGTTGATCGGCGAACATCGGGAGGCAAAGCTGGGATGCTGTTGATTCCCGGCCAAAGTCGACCAAGGCAATGGAGAGTTAAAGAGATCTGGTGTAAGTTCTGATAATGAGTTGGTGTCGCGATTAACAAGAGGGGGACAAACAAGCGTCGCCGCGTCATTATTGGGCGCAGATTGAGACTGGCTCAAGTCACCGACCCATGAGAAGGACTGGTTGTTGACAACATCTTGCGACGGCGGTGGCGGCGGCGGCGGCTCTATAGCTGGCTCCTCGTACGGCACGACAGAGTCATTGGGAACAATCGGAGCCGCCCATTCAATCATATCGTCCACGGCAGTGCTGCCGGCGGCCACGAGCCCTGGGTTGTAGCTGAGATCTTGGATCCCATCTTGGGTTCCTTCTGGCGACGCAGAGTTGTTGATTTCCAAGACCTCGCCTATTTCAGCCGCGAGACGATTCAGCGCATTCGACGTGCTGGTCATGCGGTTTCGGATGTCCAGCAGCTTGGATCGCAGTCGCCTGTTCTCCGCGGACAGGAGAGTGTATTGGCCTCCGTCTTGAGCTGAGAGGTTCATTATGTGTTGTTCGAGCTCCTTGACATAGGTGTGTTGGCGCTCCCGGAATGATTTCTGGGACAAGCGATTGCGAAACTTCCTACAGAGCAACCCATAAGCCTGGTACAGGGAAACATTAGGACGGACGGTAATGGGAATCAAAGCAGCATACCTGCGCTCGTCCGTTTGGGTACGTGTCGTCGAGGGTGCTTTTTTGGTAGCCATGATTCTGTGTGATTCCTAGGTGGTGTTTACGAGACATGCGAGAAGCAGACGTGAGAAATCATGTAGATAGCCAGACCATCGATAAAAAAATCTGGGGAGGAAGACTGGAGAACGGGTGGAAAAACCTGGGGCTCCGGGTAGGCTGGGAGGCGAGTGACCAGTCTACGGGCATCTGTGGGGGATTTCGGGAGGCATCGCCTCAGTTCTCAGTTGGCCACTCGCAGGCTTAGCGGGCCCGTCCTCCAGATTGTCCATGCCCTCTGGCCCAATGTAGTAAAGCCATCGTGTTCGGGTGAGGGCGCGGAAAAGTCTAACCTCTGCCGGGCGCACGGTGATCCGAGACCCGGGAACAGTATTGTCATCGAACGCTTATTAACAGTGATTGACGCTAGAGTACTCGGTACTCCAGACTCCAAGAAGGAACGCCCCTGTCATCTGGGAAGCCTTGCGTGGAGACCTCCTCGTACTCTGTGGAGTCTCCGCTCATGGGGAACCAATCAACATTGTGCCCCCCAGTGCAACGCCTTCGTTCGAGACCCCGTCTGTCGAGCTCATCCACTCACTTGCTCCCCTGCCGACCAAATTTAATCGTTCATGAAATGATTCGGATCGTAGTACTCTACCCAGAGCAGAAGATCTGAACGAATTCTACCAAGTTATCAATTCTAGCTAAAGTAACAGAGAGGTGATTGGATGAAGGCTTTTCCATCAAAGTTGCGTGGTGAAACTATCGTCTTCCCTATTCTAAACTATTGTTGTCTAGAACATCTCACCGCCGTTGACGGGGAGAGCTTGCCCTGTTATGAACGAAGCGGCATCACTTAACAGGAAGACGATGGCTTCCGCCTGCTCCTCTGGCTCGCCGAATCTGTTCTGCGGATTCACTGGCTTTGACCGAGACGCTTCTCCGCGTACACCTTTGTCCTCGACCTGGGCCATGGCCATGGGAGTTTTGGTCCCTCCTGGCGCTACCAGGTTCACCCTGACCCCGGCATCCACGAAATCCAGCGCCCAGGACCGTGTCAATCCTAGCACGGCGTGTTTGCTGGCCACGTAGGCGGTTAGGGTCGAGAACCCTTTCAAAGATGCCGTAGATCCGATATTAACCACGCTCGTGTTCAACTTTGGAAGACCTTCTTTTTGCCGTCGGAGCGCCTCCTCGAAGAATGCGGTGCAAGTGTTCCATGTTCCAATCACGTTGACGTTGAGGACGGATTTGAACGTGTCGTCGGGTTCGATCACGCTGGACGACACTGGGCAAATGCCGGCACTGTTCACCAGACCGTAGATCTCGGGACTAACTTGGAGAATCGATTCGAACAGAGCTGTGACCTGCTCGCGTGAGCTGACATCGACACCAGGATAATTGTAAACTGATTTATCCTCGACCAAGCGTGCCGGTGGGGTTCTGGACAGATCTATGGCGTGGACAATTGCGCCTTCGCTGCGCAGCTTGTTGACGGTGGCGAGCCCGATGCCAGAAAACCCGCCTGTGACAAGGTAGGCTTTGTTGGCCAAAGAGCTGGGCATGGCGTCGGGTATTGTGCTTGCTTGAAGGGAATCGGAGGTGGTGAAGAGTTAGAGATCGGCTTGTGATATTGGCAGATCGTGCGGCTCGAGCGCGATGGCTTTATAATCTGGTATAGTGTTTTCGACATTCCGTCCTTCTCGCGGACAATGTACACAAATAATGCATGTCGACGAGTTGCGATGAATAATTGAGCAGTTGCACTATTCTAAGAAGCGTCTGGGGTCGCCTGCAGGGAAGCTGCTCGCCCTCTCAAAATTGGTGGAGCAATGTATAACCATTCGCTGCATAATCGATCGTACAGTAAGCGCAAGCCATGGAAGATCCTCAGCCGTGGCCGTGGTAAGAGTCGTATTTTGCGACCTGCGGTGGACCACCTGGCACCCAGAGTATCTGTAGCCTGCCAGTGCTAGAAATATTGCAGAATCATGGCGCTCTGACTGTCTGCTACGGTATTGTAAATTGTCTTCTGAGAGGAGGGCCACTATATTCAAAACCTTTTGCCTCCCTCACAGCAGTTGAGGTATTGCTTGCTTCCTTGCCTATGATGTCCCAAGTCGACTCCTCGACCTCCCCGTCCGGGTGGCTGAACATGGTCGACCCAACGTTCGTCCGATGGGGCCTTCTATGCTTTGGCATCCTGCTGCTTCTGTGGAAGTTGTTGAGATATGGCATGCGCCCAAAAGACTATCCGCCAGGTTTGGAGTCCTGAGATGAGCAAAATGAGGCTGGTAGAATTGATTTGTGCATTCGTACGCAGGACCTCCAACCCTGCCTGTGGTTGGGAACCTACACGTTTTTCCCAAGACTGGGATTCACATCCAGTACGACAAGTGGATCAAAGAATGTAGGTCATCACGTTCCAATCACTGGATGCTTGCGATACTGACAGACACCCGCAGATGGTCCCGTCGTCTCGGTTCAGATGGGTGGTCGCCCATTGATTTTACTGGGAACGGCTACGGCAGTGTCAGATCTGCTCGAAAAGCGCGGCGCCATCTACTCGAGTCGGTGGCCTACCTTCTTCAGCCATTGTGGAGGCGGAAATAACATTGCTCTTAGACCGTAAGTTCGATAGCGAGCCCCCCCGTGACCATGGAAGAACGTGTCAGACGCTTACGTTTTCCCGGGCTGTTCAAGGAACGACGATGGCTGGAGACGACAGCGGAAGATCTACCATGTCAGACTCAATGCCAAATTATCCAACAACTATCTCCCATACCAGGTCAGTGGTCTATGATATGCTCCTGATGGAAAAGTTGCCGACTGTTTAAAGTCATTCGAGACTTCGAAGCTTCTTTTCGACATTCTCGAGAACCCCTCAGGCTTCCGAAAGCATTTCGAGCGATTCACTATCAGTATCGGCTGCACGATTGCCTTCGGTAGGAGGATTGACTCATTCGAGTCCCCTCTCATGAAAGCGCTGATGGAAGTGAGTATCCAGTCCCAATAGTTGAACAATAGTTCATGATAATCTCACACATGATGTAGCTTTTCCACCGATCACTCCAGGCCAGCAAACACTATCAATTGTTCGATTTCTTTGGTATCACTAGATATATTGTTCACCATATTCCGGAACGTTTTAGCTCCGTCAAAGCTGAAATAGAAGATATGTGGAGGGGCCAGTACAACCTCTGGGACCAGATGGTGGCAACTGCGAAACAACAAATCGCGGACGGAAAATTCTTCCCAAGTTGGCCAAAGACTGCAGTTGACCCTCACTTTAGAAGCTAACGTGCTTCACAGGTTTCACTCGAGACATGCTCACCCAGAGTGGTGGTAGTCCCAAAGGAGAGCTTAGCCCCAGGGAAATTGCAGCCAATGCTGGTGACGCCTGGATGGCAGCCACGTAAGTGAATAAGCTGTTCCATGAGCTTTCCACAGACTGACTTGCGCCTAGCGACACGCAATCAAACTCACTGTTGAGCTTTATCAAGGTAGGACGGAAGTGGCCTTGAGTGACAGCACCTAATCACTAACAGGCCATGGTCCTTTACCCCGACGTCCAAGAACGCGCAAGCCGCGAGATTGATACCAAGATCGGCGCCGACAAGCTTCCAGGATGGGAAGACCGACTGGAGCTCCCATATATGCGAGGGTGCATGGAAGAGACACTGCGATGTACGTCGTCAACGTGCCAGACTAATTCGAATCATTGAGGCAGCTGACTTGAAACATTAGGGGCACCGACAACTTTGACGGGAGGACCTATGCCGCACATGTTGACCAAGGATGACTACTACATGGGATATCGTCTTCCTGCAGGTGCTGGAGTAGTCAACTGCGTAGGTCGACCCGTTGGCCCATAAGTCTGTGTCTTGCTGAACAAGTGCCCAGGTCTGGACAGTCAATAACAACCCCGAGCGATTTCCGAATCCGCGAGAGTTTGACCCTTTGCGGTTCGAAGAATCAGGCACAGCAATCGAAGGATTCAGCGTCATCAACGACTACAGCAAGAGGCCGCATGTCACATTCGGTGCAGGTCGGCGCATCTGCCCTGGCTCGCATGTGGCGGAAAGAACTGTCTTCATCGCAATGTGTCGACTCCTCTGGGCCTTCGAGTTTCATCCAAAGTTGGATGCGAGCGGAAAGCCGATCCCAATCGACAGAGATGCATTTGAACCTGGCCTAGTCGCAGGGCCAGCACCGTTCGAGTCAGTTCCGCGCCCTGGCGAAAATAGATTTATATGTCTGGTTGCTGATATTAAACAGTTGCATTATCAAGCCTCGCAGTCAGGAGAAAGCCCAGAAGATCCAAGATATATGGAAGAAGGCTCAGGAGAGCTTGGATGAGGAAGGCAACTACACGGAGGAGTTCTTTCTAAAGAACTGGACCGCCGACAAGGGGCCCATGGTAAAGCAAGAATGAATGTTGAGTCTGCAGGCCACATGGATTGTGATATTGCCAGCTGCAGGTCGAATATGCACAGCAACCGAGTTGACTCGGTGGATGATCGAAAACTTCTTGAGCATTGAAGTCGAGTATCACGGTTCTTTGGGAAGCTCTAGAGGCACAAAATTCGCCAATTGAGGATAGCATGCCTAGAAAAAGTGACTGAATGAGGCCACACTTAGGGGGAAACATCTATGACTACAATAAGAAAGTTTCCCGGAGAGAGGCGTTAAATAGTCTCTCTTCAATATATTCCCAGGTTTCTTTGTGAGATGCGCCAATGTGAGTTACAGCTGCTCGCCATATGTTGGTTACCACAAAACCGATCCAAGTATCCTAGCACAGACGTATTATTTCAAATACTGAGAGGAATGGTACCGAGCTCATGCTTCAACGTCGATGAAAGAATGTACACTGAGCGTCAGGAATATCTTTCTCGGTGAGAAGCCCATCGAAGTATCCATTATTCCACTCTTGACACTGTTAAACAGTGCGTCAGCGGGTACCGATTGCGTGACTGTCAACCAGGATCTACGGCGTGCCAAACGTGGGCATATCATGGTAATCGGTAGCTTAGTCACTTCGGCTTGACCAAGCTGCCACGCAGATAGAAACAACTCTTCTTAGCTTGAATACCGGGCCGCAGGCTTGACAGAGGGCGGGGCATATGTCCATTAGGCACCTCGAGGGCTTTTGTGCACAGAAAAGCTCGCGATGAGGTCCGCAGTGAATCTGGATATCGACTTGGTCGAACTCTCTTCTGCAACATACCAATCGTGATGACTCCTCCAAGGTATTTGGAGGCCGCAAAGAAGGCTTGCAAGCGAAGGAACGATGCTATCGCGGCTGTTTATCAGCCTCCAGAGTGGGATGAGTCAAAACTGCCATCGAATCTGACTGAATACTCCCTGAACTCGGGATATTATACTCCAGCAGAGCTTCAAATCATTCAGACATCGGCTAGGGATATTCTGGCCAACGTTGCGCAGAGGAAATGGACTTCCCTAGCGGTGACGCAGGCATTTTGCAAAGCAGCTGCGCTCGCTCAGAAACTGGTAGGAGGCCAATCTTCCCGCAACAGAGTCTTTTCAGCTGGTAATTGAGGTCATAGACGAACTGCTTGACAGAAGTCCTCTTCGAAGAAGCCCTTGAGCGGGCGAGGGGTCTAGACGAGCACCTGGAGCTGACCGGACGCACGGTTGGCCCTCTCCATGGCCTTCCAATTTCTCTGAAAGATTGCTTCATCATTGCACCTTACCCAGCTTCCATCGGACTGGCCGCCCTGGCAAACAAACCTCAGAGTGACGATACGGTTCTGGTATTGATGCTCCGCGAGCTGGGCGCTGTCCTCTACGCAAAAACCAACGTCCCCACAAGCATGCTCATGACAGAGACGACGAACTGCATCTGGGGCGAGTGTCGCAACCCGCTCCAGAAACGCCTCAGTCCTGGAGGATCCAGTGGAGGGGAAGCGGCGTTGATCGCGTTCCACGGCTCGCCGCTTGGGGTCGGGACTGACTTGGGTGGTAGCATCCGCACACCCGCAGCCTGGTGTCATTTGTATGGACTCAAGCCCTCCGTCGGTCGATTTCCGTCATGGGGAGGCATGAGCGGGATCCCTGGACAGGAATTTGTCCCTGCTGTGAGCGGTCCCATGGCCAGAGAACTCGACTCTCTGCGGCTTTTTTGTGAGACAATTTTATCTCCGGCTACGGCGCCCTGGCGAAAAGATCCGAAATGTCTTCCGATGCCGTGGAAAGGAAATGTGCTGCAACAGGGAACGAAGCTTCGGTTTGGGTTGATTGGGACACATGATGGTGTTGTCCATTGTCACCCCCCTGTCGAAAGGGCTCTGGGTTTGGTTAAAACAGTCTTGGAGGCTCAAGGACATGAAATAGTCGACTGGCCCGTGGATGATCACGGCGAGATTCTCAGAGTGAGTTTGACTCGTTCCCTCTACAACCCTTCCTTGTTTCCTCACGTCGGTCTGGCTGATGGATGATATAAGACTCTCCAACTGGGGCTGTCCACACTGAGTGGCACAACAGTGGCTGATATGCTCGAGGAATGGGATGAGCCGTTGCTTCCTTCCATGAGCAGTTTCAAAGCCTCGCCCGAGCGCAAAACAGTGCAGGTTATGGCCGTGGGCTCCAACAATTTGAAAAAGGGAGAGTTGCAAAAGTTGTACCTCGACCGCATGGCTTCGATCGACTGCGTCATTCAAGCCGTTTCCCCCTTTGCTGCGGCACGGCTGAGTGCTACGCAGGAGAGGTTCTACGTCGGATATACGGCTGTCTGGAACTTACTAGGTATGGACTGAATATATACTCCAAGCCTTGACGGCGGTGTAGCACTAACTGTCCGCAGATCTTCCAGCTTGCACATTTCCAGTGACGACAGCCGACAGAGATCTGGACAAGGCTCGGGATCTGTCCGATTTCCAATGTCTCAACGAACTGGACGCCAAGGTCCAAGCAGAGTATGACCCGGACATCTACCACGGTGCCCCTGTCTCACTGCAGATCGTGGGGAGGCGTTTAGAAGAGGAAATGGTCTTGGACATGGTGGAGGTTGTTGCAAAAGCTCTGGAACAACAACGCTGACCCTGCACCAAGATTACATTCCCTGAGCCTCAATTTCTGCAGGATTCTCCCTGTTCTCTATGATGGTGATGGATAAAGGGAGAGCGAACTAGAGTTATATTGATATATATATAAAGGAGTGACTGAAGTTAAATATGACCTTGTGCGTCTAGGCATGAACGAGCGCTTGTGTTATTGCACTGATGGCTTCCATGCCTTGGTTTACTGGTGACCACAGGGTTAAACAGTGAAAGTAAGGTGTTCTCTCTTGAGACGTTTAACGGAGTCGTAGTGGGGGCTAGGACACTGTATGTCCATATACCTATGATGGAAAGCTAGGATCGCAGAGGAGTTGAGGATGCTCTGTCAGACAATCTTGGGAATGCTACGTCTAGTCAACACCTCGCCGCCTACATCAAAAAAAGGCCATCATCTTGCCAAAGCTTTGTTGAACCGTTCTCTGTACGTTGTCTCACACTCGGCTCTGGTGAATCAAATCCTCCAATTCTGCCTCCAAGGACCCTTCGAGATCGATCTGACGATCTTCTCCGTCCACCAGACCCATGTAATACGACAAGTCTCGGCCATCGAACTCGCGAACAGCAAAGCCGTCACCCAGGAACTGCCACCGGTTCAGTTTATTGCAGTAGACGATATCGTAATCTTCGAATCGTGGAGTCGAGAGCAGCTCCAAATACGTAAGTCTTGAGCCTGGAAACATCGAAAGCGGGCCGTGGACTCGGCCTTGCTTGAAGACGCTGGAACAAGGTCCTGTCCACGCAGTTCTCTGAAGATATAGGTCCGCGTGCTCTTTGAATTCCCGCACAACTTCCGTCTTGGGGGTGATGCTTTCAATTCGATCCCGCTGCATCTTGTCTATGCATTGGAGCACGTTTGACGCGAGGATTTCGAGAATGGGGAAAAGTGATCCGTGTCCGGATGGTCCGTTGGGACCGCCCATCATGAAATAGTTTGGTACTAGAGAGAGAGCGGTGTGATTAGCTTGCGATATCAGGACGACATCTGGAACCTGCTGAAATAACTTACTATGCGGGACTCCGAGACCAATGTATGACTCGGGCACCTTCTCCCAGAGCTTGGCTATGCTGTGGCCATTTGCCTCCACCGGGAAGCGAGGAATGAAGCTGGTGTTGAATCTGTCATCAGAGGGCGCAGAATATCAGTATTCGTCCAGTCTTGAGGCCCACACTGCCGGGGCTGAGTTGACCTACCCGGTGGCACAGATGATGACATCTACGTCGACCTGATTGCCTTCACAATCAATGAAGCCCGTGGCATTGACCTGCTGTACTTGCTTCGTGTACACTTTGACGTTCTCCTTGGTGAGCGCTTCAAGGAACCCTTCACCGGGCTGTACAAAGAGAATTAGAGTTCATAGAACAGCTTTCTCGTGGTAAGCCTCACCGTTGGACGCCGGCACCCAACATTGAATGTCTTGGGGATGATGGCCTCAATGACCTCGGGGGGAGCCCCTTGTAGCCGTTTTCTCATGGCTTCTTCGGCAAACTGATTGGACAGGGTCAGCGTTAATGATCTCCCCTTTTTCTGGGTTCTGCTAATGCTCTTACCCTCCTGGCTGTCTTTGACTCCGGGGTGTTATTTAGGATGAACTTGAAGCGGACATTGAGCTCAGACTCAATCATCTTGCAGTATTTGAGAAAGAGTTTAGGATCCTTGGCGAACTTTTCTTTCTGGGCAGTAGTATCTAGAAATATCTGTTAGTATCATACGGCGACTTTGGCTTTGAATCATGCATGATATACGCACACTTGAAATTGCCCCCAGTAGGGCCGGCAAACCTTTGTGCAAATCCAGGCGTGACCCAGGTAGGGGATCTGATCCAACAATACAGCTGTTTTACTTGTGGCTGTATCTTTGAGATTATCTGGATGCCACTACTTCCAATCCCAATCACTGCCACTTTTTTCCCTCGGAGATCGAGACTCTCGTCGTAGTGAGCACTGTGAGTAAGACTTCCCTTGAACGAATGAATGCCTTCAATATCAGGCCATTTCCAGTTACTGGTGCACGTTGATATCAGGTCAGCATTATCGATCGGACTTTAGGTCATAACGTACTTTAGCCCTCCACCGCCATTGACAAAGACATTACAGGTGTCGACAAATGTGGTTCCGTCAGGCCTTTGTACACCAACCTCCCAAAGTCCTTGCTGCGCGTTCCAATATGCCCCTGTTATCGTGTGCTGCAGTTTGATATACTTCATGAGACCGTACTTGTCCACGATGTCTTTGAGATACTGCCAGATGTGCTTCGACTCCGAGTAGTACTCGGGCCAAAAAGGGTTGGGTTCCCAGGTGAATTGATATGCTGCCGATGGAATGTCGCAGGCGCAGCCTGGGTATCTGGGTATCGTGATTTCAGACGTCAGGTTCAGGCCTTTTCCCAAGATTCCACCGACTCCCCTAACGAGAGGCGCTGACGCAGGACCAAAACCTACCGATTTTCGAGCCATGTTCCTCCTACATCGGTATCCTTTTCATAGATCTGCAGGACGACGTTCTCTGATCGATCTTGGGCAAATTTGGAAAAGCAAATCCCCGACACGCCGGCACCAAGATGGATGACTCGAATCTGCCTTTTTGTTCCGAAATGTTCTTCGTTCGTTTCGTATCCTCGTGCATTTCGTATGAGCCAGCCTTTCTCATTATAAAGTAGTTCACCGTTCGAGGTTGGACCAACTCCATTTTCTTGAGAGAGCGCCATCTTCGTTTGAGCTTCTCCGGACTCTTCGGGTTTATCTTGCATACCTTCAATGCAAATGTCCCCAATTGAATCCTATATGGCCAACTGCAGAGACGCGCATTCAGTCAACGGATACGCAAGCAGATGATCAGGTCGAGCCGCCATTCCGTTTAGATAGGCCCTGCTTGAACTCCAGGCCTTGAAAGTTGACCGCCGAAGCAAGCGGTCACTTACTTACGGACCAGCAGGTCTGGGGTGGGTCGTTGAATTCATAATCGTACGTACAGTAATGTTTTGTGGGTCTGTGGTCTTTGACGGCAGCCAGCACTCTCCTTGGTTATATTGTAAGACCTCTTGCAAAAAAACGGAAGTTTGTATGAGTCATAAGCAAAACAGCATTACCAATTCCATGGGTGTCCGGTAGGGATAGACAGGACTGTCGTTCCAAGCATATCTCTCAGCATACAGCAGTCGTGGACGATCGACAGATTCATCTTTGGCCGAGTCTGTCCGAGGAGCAAGGTACATTGGTACGTAGTTCACTATTCTTACTGTGAAAAAGCCGTACTGAGTGCACAAATATCCATTGGTTCTACTTTGTACCGGCCTTTCGGCCCTTTATCTTCCCAATTTAATCTATCTGCTCAACGTGGTAGTATCTCGTCGTAATCCAAGACCACGGTGTTGCAATGTACACATGACGTGTATGTGTGACCTCTTATGTCCCGTCAAGATTCGGTGCTTCATATTTTTGCAGGGTATATCATGCCACGGCCTTATACGCTAACACCATTCGTTTGAGAGTGTCCATTCATCTCGACAGATGCCTTGTTCTCCCATGGGATTTCCACCGGAACATATGCTTCGTCGAGATAGCCTGACGTGAATTCTCCATTCACTTGTTTCTCAGTGAACCCGTTTCCGATCCAAGCCAGTGGATTATCGTCAGTCTCGTCTCGCAGCTTATATTCGAAATCTTCCCACCGAGGATGCTTGAAGACGTAAGACCCATGGGTCGAAGTACCTGGCCACAATGGGAGAAGACGCCCATGTGGATCTCTCTTGTTTTTCCACCAGGCGTTACACTTTCAGCAGTTAGCAAAAGAGTCCCCAATCAACTGCAGACTGCGGTCGAGTAGTGACTAACAGGTACAGCAAACACCGTGGGCTTGAAGTATTTGTCGACGAGCTTGCCAAAGCTTTTCACGGCGGAATCCCTAGAAGTTGAGCAAGGAAGACATATGTCAGTACTGTGTCTTCACTCCAGGAGTGTAGAGAAAAGGCGTGTATTGTGCCAAGTAACATAGGAATGATACTGACTTAGGAACCATCCACTTAATGTACTCCCTTTGAATCTTCTCGATGCAAGAGATAATGTATCGCATTTCGTTCTCCAGGAAGGGCAAAGCCGAACCTTGGCCAGGGCCACCATTCGGACCGCCCATGATGAAGTAATTCGGCATCTTACGAGGGCAGACGGATAGATAAGCTTCTGGGACTTCCTCCCAAACATCTTCCAGCCGGATACCATCCAGACCGAAGGTGGGAATGTGAACTTTGTAAGTGCTGTACGTATTGTCAGCCAGAGGAATTGAATGCGGGATCGCGGTGCCACAGACTCATCAAACCCTGTTGCGCAGATAATCAAATCAACATCGCGCTGGACTCCATCAACTGTTTGGATACCGGTCTCGTTGATTCGCTCAATCTTGGTGGAAATGAAATCCACGTTGTCTTCGCAAAGGGCCTCCAGATACTACAAGTATATCAATGAGGGCTTGTCTAACCAACGTGATGTGTGGCATTGACTTACTCCAGGTCCAGGGGTTAATCTCCTGCATCCAGGGGGAAAGTCTGGCAATAGAGACTCGTAGATTTCTGGCTTCTTGGCGAGTTTCTTCTTCATATGGTCGGCACAAAGCTGGCGGATTGCGGCAGCTGCGGGCGTGCCGTCAAAGAAAGCTGGTACCGGCTTGTTCATGATCTCCTCGACCTTATGCCGATACTTGAGATATTCTTCAGGATGATTTCGGAACTTTTCCAGGTCCTCGGCCGGAGTTTGAGCTAGTACAGTGTGAGAGAGGAGCCGACTTTGATGTACGCAATCTCCAAGACTCACGTTTCATGTCCCTGTCGAGCAACCCTTCCGAGCCAATCCCTCCTGGAGTGATCCAGGTCCTGCTCTTCATATAATGGTCGACATGTTTTACCTTGGGGAGAACGCTGGGAAGAATCTGGATCCCACTCGAGCCTGCGCCGATGAGGGCGACCTTCTTGTCCGTGTAGTCGTACGACGTGTCCCAGCCGGCGGAGTGCATAACCTTGCCCTTGAATGACTGTAACCCTGGGATATCGGGCAGTTTCCATACGTTGAGGTTGCCTAGTCCCGTGATAATGGCGTCCGACTTGTCTGTAAAGGTCTAAAGCAATGGTCGTCAGCACCGGATGCCGTTGAATAAAAAAGGTTTCAGAATCATCCTAACCTCGCCCGTCACCAAGTTCTGGACATCGACATGCCACTTTCCCTCACCCTCGTGCCACTTGGCTTTTAGAATCTTGTGTTGCAACTTCATGTGTTTGGTTGCGCCATACTTGTCCGCGGTTCGTTGGAGGTAGCTCAGGATTTCTGGCCCTGGGGCATAATAGCTGCTCCATTGGGTGTTGTTCTCGAACGTGAATTGGTAAACATGGGAGGGAACGTCGCAGGCAACTCCAGGATACCTTTCTAATCATCAGTTTACCGTTTTCCGGGGGTTTGTGGTAACTTGTTGGCGCCTTTACTTGTTCTCATACCATACTCCTCCAAGACTCGGGTTCTTGTCATAGATCACCAATTCCAGGTTTCTGATGGCTCTGGGGATCAATATACCACCCATGACACCAGCCAGCCCGGCGCCAAACATGATCACCTTGATGGGCCGTGGCGAGTCCACCGGCTTGTTAATGATGTCCGCAATGGGAGGCAAGGCACCTTTCGGCCATCCTCCAGCAATGTCCAGAGAACCCATGGCGATGTCAATGAAGATTGAGTTCCGACGGAGTTGACCACTGTCACCGTGAAGCGTTTGATGAAGGACGCGAGTTCCATCATATTGGAACTTGATGTGGATCTTGCCCTAGGCTCTTCCCAGGGCTATGGGGAAGGCTCTCATGAGCACTTGGTCATTACATGCTTACTGTACGCTCCTCCCCGTCTGTTTGTGCATAGGTCTGGAGTTGCATAAGCGTCCACTTACGAGGACTACGGTGTGGGTCCACCTGTGAAGGAGCGCGGAGTGACATTGAGAGATATCCGGGGACTCCCCAATTTGGACTAGCACCATTAACAAGCACTGCCTACCTGCCTACCTAAGCCTGCCCTTTACCATTTTGGTTCATGGTCCATTGGACGAGTTCTTCCTATCAAGATGATCCCATGAGTCGATACCTTGATTACAAGGCTACAGCCCCATGAGGCACGGCTGACTTCATTGGACTTGCTTCGGTTGTTAGACTACCGGTCGAGGCGTTGTTCACAAGCATGATCGGGAACAAGATGTAAAAGTTGGGGCAGTAATAACTTGTCGATTACGAAAAGTCGGGAATGTCGAATACCTACGCCCTCGGAGCCTCGACGCTTCGCCAAACCATTCAACGCACGAGATACTATCGAGGCGTCATTTAGTAACTCGCCCGCGTTTGGAAGCAACTGTGCATATCAGTTACGACTCCGGAGTCCTAGTCTCAACAGAGGCCGGGGTAGAAGAGGTTCAGGCAGTGGATAAATTAGAGCGCCTCATACGCTGAAAGCCCCCCAGGCAGAGGATTGACTACCCATACTACGTATTCCTGTATTTCAGAAGGCGGGCTCATATTGTCAGCTGCCTTTGGACTTGACGTCCATACCCGCAAAAATGTTCAAACTGGAACCGATTAAAAGGCATTGCAGACATCACCACCTCCGTGCTCGCGTACGAGAGTTTCCTGACCTACTTCAGAATGAATAATGACACCATCGGAGCTCGTGAATTCGCCCAAGAGATTGCGGACATAGAAAGCCATCTTGAGAGGCTGAACCGCACAAAGTCGTCACTTCGTGACTTTTGTCATGTCTCGAAGAATATAGCTGTCAAGTCCGCTGTTAACTAGAGTGAAGACAAGCCAGGAGACAAGTACATGGACGAGCCTACGGCGGTTGACAAAACTGAGCGAGGATGCTCAGAGGTAGAGTTGCACCTCACAGAAACCGTAAATATGTCTGATTCTGCTACCTACGTTTTCGTGATTGTGTCTAGCATGTCCCATAAAGTGTGGCTCAATGAGACATGTACAGATTGACACGACTATCCAATTATCCAAGATAGCGGCAGACGTCTTGAACCCTGGATGTAGGCGACCTTCATTCTGTTCGCCAATCTCGACGCACTAGTCTGCGTGACAGCTTCTCCACAATCTTCAACCAATATTGTTATGGTATCTTGCTCATTTGTCGCCTTTCTCTCCCTTGTCTACCTTGTCTGCCCTTGTCTGCAGCTGGGAGGCCTGCCAACTGACTATGGAACGTGTTGTCTCCGTCTGAAACTCATCGAGACCTGAATCTGTTCTGTCGTCCCCATGCGATTGAGATAAACCTTCTCAAGTCGGTGAGAACCATTTCCGTTTGGCCTCATGGTCGGATGAATGAGAAGCCAAAAGTGGCATGCTAGAGGGGTAAACGAAGTTTTGCTGCCCAACTACGACCTATTAGCAGGATAGGATCAAGGCATGACACATAATGGTGGGGCATGGGCAAGTGTTAATTCTACTATTCATATGAGGTGCCATCCAAGACTTGCACTAAGTATCTCGTCCTTTGTCTGAAACAATCACTCCCCATCTCCATGTCGTCTAGTTGTACAGGTCCTATCTACGTATACCATCCTTGATGATATCTTCGACCTGCAAGCACTGACGAACCGACACAACACGACTCCGGGGGTCTGATAGCTCTGCATAGGAGGGAAATAACCCCCACACAGTCTGCATTCTTCAGGACAAATGGTGACGAGCCGATAATGTTTGACGAAGCGTTGGTCCCGATCAAGCAAGAAAACCAAACCTTGGCAGACCCTTCGGATACATGGTTCTTATCGATCGTCGGATGCAGTGTGGTCAATAGACGAGACAAATGATCACAGCCGACACGAGAAGAATTCCCGCTCCGAATGAACGAAAGGGTGGAGTTGCCCAGCCACTTGCCGCCACAGAAACGAGGGTGACGGTGCTGCTTCTTTCCGACGTACTCGATGAATCCGTTGTCATGCTCGACAGGGACGTGGGAGCTGTTGTTGGCGTGGAACTACTCAGAGTGGTAGATGTCGACGTCAAAGCTGAGACGATATCGCTTCCTGTCTCCAACGGAACTGTCAAAGTAATAACACTGCTTGGATTGGTGGCCTGACTAGGATAAGAGGGGTCTAGCGTCAGAGTTGCCGTGATGGTCGTCGTTTGAATGGCTTGTACGGTGGTCTATTCTCTCCCCATCAGCATGGTAAACTCAATCTGATTGAGAGGGACGCAGAGCAAAGAGGGGAAACAAACCTGAGACATTGAGGAGGCGCTACTGCTACTGCTACTACTGCTGGTGACTGCAGTGGGCGTCTCAGTAACACTTGAAGTCCCCGTCGCACAAGTCCAAACCATTTCCCGTGGAGTTCCTGACGACGATGACGATGACGACTCATCGCCCTGCGCACCAACCACAACCACCCAGATCAAATTGCGATCCCACATCTGCACGGTGGCGTCCACGCTGGCGTTGCAGAACACGCGATCATTCAGACCCAAAATGTCGTCGACCGAGGCCTCTGCTGTCGTGCAAGACCCGCTCAAGCAGGCTGCTAAGGCTGTGCGGTACGAGCAGTCTGTGCAGATACATCGCCGGAGCACGGCGGAGGGGGAGTCGTCGTCGATAATACCCACATTATTGTCATTCGTCGTGGCGGTGGTCGTGGCAGTGACAGTGTCAGAGACCGAAGCAGATGCATAGGAAGGTGAAGGGTCTCCATTCCCGCCGCCGGAGAGGATGGAGCCGCAGCACCCGAAAGCCTGGAGGAGCGCGGTGCTGTAGCAGGTCTGCGCGCAGGTCGGGAACTGCGTCCAGCTTGTATACACATACGGGGCGCCAGCCACAGCCTGCTGAAGCACTGCAGTGGCGCTGCCGACAAGCGTCGCCCGCGCTAGGAGACGGGCTAGCAGTGTCATATCGAAGTAGGTAGGTGTACGCCTTGTTTCGTATGCCTCTCTCCGCTGTTCTTTCTCCCGGTCTGTGGACAGTAAGAGAGTGGACGGTTTAGACAGGATAGGATCCGATTTCGAGATGAGATGCTGATTGTGTTTCGTGTTCACATGTACACATGCATGCATGCATGAATCTATTCGATATTCATGTGCAAATTCGGATTCGGATTCCCGTTCGTGACTTTGACTTGACTAGATCTAAAAACTCCGGAGAACGAAGATCTAAAAAAAATACTCCTGAAAGTCCGCGACGGAGCCAGCCGACCATGTCACGAGTCTCGTCAGTAGCAATGTCACTACCACTACTGCCACGCTCGGACAGAAAAAAAACGAGACATGACACTAAGTATGGGTCATGAGACCAGGCGAGAGAGGACATGATCAATATCCGTTGTTCGTTGTTTACGCCAGTCTGGAGAGGAGTGGTCTACTCACGGTTTCTCTCGGTCAAGGTCGACGATGAGGCACAATTATAAACATCAAGTCATCCAGTAATGTTGTGATATCTACGATCTTCTTATCTTCTTATCCTCTATCAACAGGACCGAATGACTCGTCGGCCGTCAACCCAAAGAGCAGAAAAACTGCTACCGCTACGGCTACTGCTGTGCCCAAAAGAAGAGGAAGGGCAAGTGTGATAAAAAGGTCATAGGTTCGTTCATTGAATTAAGTACCCTTGATTACCGCACAAACCACGTATCCACGGGCGTGACCACATGTGAGGGGTCCATCGATTCACTATCCAACACTAGATCCATCCCTTCCCCCTTCTCCAGATCCCCGTTCGCATCGCGTCCTTCTCCTCCTTCCGCACGAACTACCTAGCTACCTACCTAACTAATCACAAACCAAGGACCCAGATCCATGCACTCACAAACAGAACCGTCACCATATCCAGTCCTTCGAATGGCAACGCCAGCTCTCCTGCACCCCCGGTCTGACTTGGAAGTAGATTTGTGCTTGTACCTGTGCCCGTACTTGTACTCCGGCTCGTCAGAGTCGTGATGGTGGTGCCAAAACCGGTACTTGTAGTGTAGCTGGTGATAGAATGAGACGTGAATGTCAGGGGTGGAGATGGAGATTGGCTTTGCGTTACAGGACCTGTAATGGTAATAGAGGCGCCAGTGTCGCTAGTGCTTATGCTGCTACCATAGCCGCTGTTTCCGTACGCACTGCTGCTGCTGCTATGGGTGGCTGATCCAGCCGATGTCAAGGTGATCAAGGGCGGGGTCGGGGTCGGATATCCCAAGCCGCTACCAGAATGCAGCCCACTTGTCACAGGCGTCGAAATGACTATGGTACCTGTCACGTTGCCCCCATCGGTAGTCGTGCTCTGACATGGCTCGGACGTAGACACAGAATCCGTGTCAGGGTGTCCAGGGCTATTGGAAGGGAAGCTCGAGTGAACAGTTGTCGTCACGTACGATGTGCTCGTGATAGAGATGGTGATTGTCGTATTATGGGAACAATCTGGACCTTCTGGACAGCCACTCCCAAAGACACCGGAAGTACACGTGGTTGTTGGGGATAGCGAAACTTGGGTGTACGTCGACTGGGTCCCAGTCAAGGGGGACACAAGAGACGTCGCGCTGTAGGTATCAGAGCCGGAGGCGAATGAGGGAAGAGGATAGGAAGGGGCTGAGATTGCAATCGAGGGCGTGTAAGAAGAGGAGCTGATGTCCGAAGTACACGGAGACGAGTCCACGCCAGTCGCAAATGTCGAGTATTTGGGCGTACATGCGGGACTGACACAGGGGTCCGAGGTAAAGCCAGGGTACGAGAAAGTTATGTCCGCCTTTGCTGCGTCAGAAACAGTCATTCCATGGTCAAAGCTTGAAGATCACATACCCACGTCGTCGACGCCGGCTCAATCTCCGACAGCGTAGATGTCTCTGCCACAATTGAGCAGGTCGGGTTGATGGTCGTGGACATCGTCGCTCCGAATCCACCACCCACAGTCCATTCTGCAGATCGCACTCCCCAGGTAACAGCTGCGTCAACGACCATGTTGCAAAAGACCTGGTCGTTGGTCATCAGCACTTCATTTGACTGCCCCTGATCTCGACAGCCGCCAGATCTGGAGAGACAGGAGCTCAATGTGTCACTGTAGGTGCAACTGGAGCAGGTGCAGAGACGAATGGACAACACGCTGTTTGTAGTTCCGCAGTGGCTGATCACGGACATGAGGGCTTCATTGAAGCATTCTTGCGCACAGGAAGGAAGGTCGTCCCAGCTGTCGAACTGGGCGCACGTATAGCCGACAGCCAGAGAAAGGATGAACAAAACAATTGATCTTGCAACAGCCATAACGATGGACTGAGAGACGGAGCTATTGCATTATCAAGAGGATACAACGAATGGTCAGATTGCAAAGGGAAGAATGTACACAAACCGATGACCGACGCCCACCACCGCGATTTGGAAAACAACAAGAACTTATAGGCATCGAACAAAGTCGGAAGCCACTGTTGTTGAGAAACACCGGCCGAGATTTGATCTGGAAGCAGTGATACCGTGCGCTGTTGTGATGCTATGAAAATGTGTCATACTCAGGTCGGTTGAACGAACGGAAGATGCGATGCCCCAAACGTTGAGCATCGGTCCCGCGCAGAAAGTAGAAGAGACAATTGCCAGCCCCCTACGACGCACCATAGTCAGAGACTTCGTAGGAGGTAGGCATTGGTGGCTGCGTCAGGGTCTCAAACGGTTTGAATGACAAGTTGCAAAGAATTGGCGGCGATAATCTCAACCGGAATGATTCTGAAAGTCTGTAGAGAGGATAGCATGGACATACAGAACCACTTGGAAATTTATGCATGATGCCTTTGAGGAAGAAACATAAGGCCAAGAAAAGTAGAGCCACTCCGCAAAGAAGGCACCGTGTCACCCTTCGGAGATATCTTGCAGAACCACTCTAGACGCACAGCATAAACTGTGAAACCCTGAAAGGTAGGAAGCATGCAGCATTGGCTAGTCATCAATAGAGAGTCGCGGATGTGCCAGCGGCGAGCCGTAATTGTGTTGTCGAACATGCAACCACCGTGCCGTCCTTCAGGTAACACCCATCGCCCAATGCTGAATCTTAGCTCCAGTTGTCTTCAATCCGACTTCCATGTCCATCCAGTATCCAAAGAGAGAATCGGTTTTGCATGGCGCTGCTGAAATAGCTTAGTCGTCTTCCCGTCACTAGAATATCTTGCCAACGAGAATCCATGTCATGAAAACGCCCAGTCCTTTCTCTACAATCTCCAGAGCGCCAGCGTGAGCACGAACAGCAGCATTGAAAGACTGCACTGCCATAGCACTCGGGGTCGAGTATACAGTCCAGGGGCTGCTCAGGTTGCCGCTTGATGTGGTGTTTGGGGGCAAATCCACGACAACAGTCGAGGTACTGGTGATTAACACTTGAGTCGCGGTCACGGTAACAGAGCCTGGGTCGGTACCAGCGATTGAGGTGTTAGACGTCCAAGATGATGGAGAGGTTGACAACGTCTGCAAAATATTAGCCATTCAGGCACAGGACAGAGTCATGCACGGTAAAGTATGTATGTGACATGCCTGAATCTGAGTAGGATCTGAGACTGTGGCCCAATAACCTCCCCAAGGACCTCTTCCCAGAGTGATAGTTCTTGCGCCATTGATCAACGTGTAATCAAAGCCACTATCCACAGAAGCGTTGCAGAAGACGGCGTTTTTGAACGTCTCGATATCGCGGTTGAAGGGGTTGGAGTTGCAAGGCACGTTGGCTTGGAGGCAAAGGTCAAACTTTGTGACGGCGTCAATATTTCGACAGAAACAGTCAAGAGATGTATGGGCGCAGGTAGAGAGAGAAGCGTTGACAGCTTTGGTGAAGCAATCTTGCTGTGAGTATGGTCAGCCTGTGGAAACGAGCCACAACTTCATGGATCGACCTTACAGCACAGTAGGGAAGAGCGGTCCACCTCTCGTAGTACGCGCTCACGAATGGAGAGACGACCAGGAGGAGCGAGCAAAGCAATGCGGACAGTGTAAATGCCATCATGAGAATGTGTGATAGTAATAAGTGCAGAGGGAAAAATGATGGAGAAGACGTTCGAGGCCTTGCTGAAGAGTTCTTGAGAAAGGATCAAGCAGAGGGAGGTAGAGAGAGAGAGAAAGGGAGAAGGAGAGTTGTTACTGTCACCCTCAACACCAACACCAACAACAACATCACCTGACCATCGTCACTTGCTCCTTCCCTGAATCGAATAAGTGATATATTGTAGATTCACATTTTCGTCCCAGATGACACTCACCTACAACCAAGACGTTGCTAACAAGTGATGCCATCCAAATGCCACAGCTCAATGCTAGCAGAGACTTACCGAGAAAAAAAAAACCACTCGAAAGAGCAAGGTTTAACTTACCACAGACGAGATTGATCCCGGTTCAGGGGGTCGAATCGAGTCTGTGGAAAAGTTTTTGTAACTCGGCATTTTCGTCCTCGCGAGGGATATTTGTGAGTGAGTGAATGTGTGTGGATGAAAAGGAGATGGGCGGGTGAAGGACTTCAGACAAGCGACGGAGATGGCAATGAAGAGCTCCCCAGTTCCACGACCATCGAGTTGGTTGATGCGTTGAAGGGGCTGGAAGCCACCCTTTCACTCCATGTATCACTACATCTTCAGACTGGACGACCTCCCTGGCGAGGCTGAATGTCCATATGAACTTCATACCGCATTCCACCACGTCGCTAGTCCACATCATCCACCCTATCCATCCATTCTTCAATTATTCAGTGACTTCTCCCACCACGCACATCTTTGGTTTGATGTATCATCTTTAACCCGTGCCACCACAGTCGAAATCGAGTTCATACTGGCATTTTGACCCTGCATTGGGAACGGTGGCAGTCCCTGTCCATTGGGATTGCCCGACAAGATGAAGTTCGCGAGGTAGGCTTGAAGGGTTTTGGCCACTGGGGCAATCAGGTCCTGCGTGAGGTT